GTCCCATTGAAGAAATAAATTTTGTCCACAGGAAGCCCATGCAATGATGATAAGATTTGTCTTGTGTTGGTCTACCATCTGAATCATGTTGGTCATGTGAATTTGTATTTCTATATGGAATTTAAGTAGGAACTTCCTAAAAATGTGCGGTACCACCCCACTGCACCACCCTTACATCCACCCCCGATAAGTAAAACACGAAGTACCAATCCAAGCATCCTCGGAATCGAGGATACTATTTAGTAATATTATGTAGTTTTATTTCTGGGAGTGAGGAGCATATGACAGAAGATTACGCCTGGGTTCCAAAGGCAGCAATCTATCATTAAAATGTTTTCATTCAGTCTTCCACATTATCAGTATTGTATGGGCTTCCTGCGTTTTATCCACATTTCCAAGAAGTTTTTGATAATTTTTATCACATTGCTAAAAAACGTACATGTAACTTTTTTTTGGTTCATTTCTGAAAATCTATATTTTAAACTTTCGTCCGCCTCACACTTACTACTGGGTTCCCTGTGTAATAGACAGACCGTTTGCTTTGTGGGTCGTGGTTCTAGTTGTTCGTGTTGATTTGGTTGCTAACTGACAAAACATTACCTTTTCTTGTCAAAAAAGTCCATAAAACAGGCTCTAGAATTCTTCTAAGATGACATCTCAATACAGAGTAAGTTATTTTTCAGTTTCCTGTCCATTTCATCGTATCATGAATTGATTTTTCGTTGTCTTAATTGAAGGTTGCAGACTCCAAAAGAGAAGAGTTTAGAAAATACTTGGAAAAGGCGGGAGTTCTCGATGCTTTGACGAAAGGTTGGCTTTRAATCAATTTAAAATGTTCCTAAGTAAATGAAAATTATATAAAATTGTTTATTCTTRTTTTCTTAGTTCTGGTTAATCTCTATGAAGAACCCGAAAAGCCTTCAAATGCCTTAGAGTATCCTTTGTCTTCAATTGCGAACAAAATGATGTAGACATCATACATGCCAACTACTTAAGACTTATATGTGCTTTAGGAAATCAGTTTAGAGCTTTGTTATGCATGTTGTTTTATCAAGCGTTGTTGTTAATTTATATTATCTGGAAGCAAGTAGCCAAATCCTATAGTATGTGATCACATTATCTGGTACTACCTGTACCTGCCAGAGAATATGCCACACATCAGGCATTTAGAAGAMATGCATGTGATTGTAATGTGTGCTTCTGTGTCTACTGGAATCCATTGTATTTCTGGCTAGATTTTTGGTAATTGTCTTGAATTATGTAATCTGTGTTCTGATGCCTAAGATCCATAGTACATGTAATTATTTTTTGTTTTCACTATATGTCACAGTGGCCATCTTGAATGAAATTCAACAAAGGATTTCTCATTAGTATCTAAGCTTATTGTTCATTCCTCCATTGCYGCTGGTCTTTTGTCTTTTGAATATMATGGGARTGATTGCAAAACAATCAATATTGAATAAATGGAGTCCCTTGTTTTCATGTGTCTGTCCATGTCCGTACTCTAATAGATACACTGATGACATCAAAATGTGATAGTGTCTCCACTTGGCTTATTGTATGTATAAACAAAGCTGAGTGGCAAGATTCTTCTCATCACATTCGGACATGATCTGTGTACCTTCTAGCAGAGTACAGACACACAGAAAAAAAAAAATCTCTTTGCTTTATATAATATTTTCCTCCTACGTTTTCCAAGCATATGCAATTTCATTGAAACTATTGAATGACTTGAATGCAAAGAGAACACAGTGCAATCGCTGGTTCTAATCAATCAGAGCATGTGTAAGATTGAAGGTTGTCATTTGTGTTTTTAATAGCAGTCTGTTCACTGTGTAATATATCAAATAATATCATGTAAATGACCTTAATTACTCCAAGCTTTGTACAAATGCATCTTCATGGAGGAGGACCTGATGGTGCTGATGTTGAGGCCCTAAAGCTTGAAGTAGCTGAACTCAAACAAACTGTTGAACAATTGACAGCTGAAAATGCAGAGCTAAAACAAAGGGTATTTTATACTAATTGATTTGGTTCATGTATTTCTCTATTGATTACTGACTGCACCAAATAACAATAATTAGACCTCAATGACAGATCAATGACAGATAGACTAGTGAACAGATTGAGTAGACCAGGAGTTGATAGTATCCACCAAACTTTAGGACCAAAGATGATAACAAATAATKTTTCTTTGTATTTTGTGATTATTTTAGCTTCATTCGATGCAACTTTAGTCTATCGTGCAATTCCATGTTGTGGACATTACCYTCAGAAGCAAATCTTTTTAACAACTTAATTGATGTAGATCCTAATGTGAAATTTGCTGACCTAACCAAAGTTATTCAACATAATAAACCCTCAAGGGTCAAGAAATTCTAGGTCCCCCTTAATTGCAGTTACTACATTACCCCCAAATCAACCATCTTTTCAAATGAGCATTTTCACACTGAAATTCCTGTGAATTATAAAAGGTACCAAAAGAAACTAAGACAATGCTTTGTCTTTGTAATGATGAAGGTTCAAAATTATGAGGAAAATTTTTTGATCAGTTGAAGTTGTCTTGCGGACATTACACTAGTAATGTTACAGACATGACCATTTTGGGATATTTGACATGCAAAACCTTTTGTGGTCATTCTATGTTATGATAAAACATTAAAATTAGTAGTAATTTATCCATAAAATATAGGCCAATATCATAGAACGATTTCACATAGCGATACAAAAAATGCAAATAGGTTTATCTTATGCAAATTTTATTGACTGTAAAATAAACTCATGTAATGATGCTATACACGCTTCATTTTCTCACTTATTACAGCATTGTTTCCTATCTTATAATTAGATTTTATTGTTATTCATCGCGAACAAAACAAAACAGTAATTTTATTGAGTCAAAATATAATTACGGACTTGACTTTTTGTTGGTCAGCCTTTGCTCGGCTTTCTCAAAAAATAGTTGACTCCCAAGAGACACCCAAGGTGGTTACTCTCTCCTGCCATTGATCTTGTGGTATTTTTGGCCGAAAGACGTGTCAAGCTTTTTGAAAATATTTGAGGCTAAGCTTGTACGAGATGCTGCATGGTACAGTTCTGCATGTGCTGTGATAGAAATTATAGCAAAGCTTGGCACAAAGACTCAAAGCATGTCAAGTCTGCTCGTAAAATGAAATGTGCGTGCTTTGTTGTGATGTAATGATAATATAAAGTAGCATAAAAGCTGCAATAAGTGAGAGAATAGAGTCTGTATTACATGATGACATGAATTCATTGTACAGTCAATAAATTTGCATAAAATAAACCTATTTGCATTTTTTGTATCGTTATGTGAAATTGTTCTCATATGTATAAATTAAAGGAACAAGAAGCTGATTTGATTATATCATTTTAATAAAAAATGTTCACAAATAATTTTTCAATTTTCAACTATATTGAACAGAAAGTAAAGACCAGTGGTGCTACACAATCAAGCACGCTCAGTGAATACTCCTAAGCATGCATTTTTGGCTTAGACCACTGACCTGCTAATTCGCTTTCTATGTACACTGACACTGCAATTACAAGCTTCAATTAACTATCAAGATATATTGTTAAAACATGGTTAAAACTAGTACTGAGAGATCAAAAATTTACAGAAAAAAGTTAAAAGAAARTCCTGAAAAGTATGATAGGTACAAAAGTAAAGACAGAGACAGAAAAAGAGCTGAGAGAAGTATTAAAAAACAAGGAATCTAAGTCCATCAGAGATACAAAGAAGAAAGCAACTAAATTGAGAAAGGGTAAGGAGATGTAAACTACGAAAGAAGCAGAAAATATTAAAACTGAAGCCAAAGAGAAAACACCTCGGGCACTTGGTAAAGCTGTGAAATAGGTCAAGAGCCAGCTACAATGTATCAAGAAGCCCCTATAAAGAAAAGGAAAACACAAAACTTGCGTCTGTCTCAGGGATCCCAATTCAAAAGTGTCTCCCCCCAGAAAAATGGACTTTGTGATCAATCAAGATGGGGGGAAGAAAGAATCTAAAAAAGACAACTCCTTTACTAAGAGGAAAGTATGCTCTGTTCCTACAAGACCCTGACTCTAAAGATGGTTTAAGCAAATTCTGTTCTCTGCATTCTTTTAATGTTTTGCTTTTCTCAGAAATCCCACAAAATGTGTGATGCTGTCAGCATCATGAAAACATTAGGCTAATTTGCGACTGCCTACTTAGGCAAAATGATACCTAAATTTCATTGATACTCTGGCAATTTTATTGAGAATGCTGTGTGTGATCCCAGATCAGAAAAATGCATGATGGGACAGTGCAGTTACTGTCCAAACTGGATATGTGTCATGGAGCAATAGGATTATGAACTGATTGAAAGCCAAGTTTTATCAGTGGGAGAGAATAGTCAATGATTATTACTCATGCAATTGTACCTGGTCTAGTTTGTTTCTGTGGCAGCAATTTGATTAATGAAAATGATATACAAAGATTGATAGGTATAAAATCCCACAGTAAAATTGGTTGTCAAAATTTGTCATTGATATTCTTGGGATCAAGGTCCAGACCATTACATAGGAAGTGTTTGAAAAAGGAAGTTTGCTGCCCTTGTAAAACAATGAAATGATTTTTTGAGCCAAGATCTTATTCAAGCCAAGATCCCATGTAATCCAACTCAGTCTTATCACTGGTACCTTSTGGCTGTTCTTCCAAATATGAAATTTGTATTGGCACTGGACAGTCTTGCAAGTGACATTTTAAAACCAAGAAGCAAGATTTGAGAAGATGGGCTGCAGTCCCGGCTGATGCAGTATTGATGAATTGATCTTTTATTACCACACCACAGAAGATCTACCACAACAGGATAACAGCTATGATTGTGGCGGTCTTTGCTTGTCTGTATGCTAACTGCCTTGCTGAACTGGGGTCAAATCACGTGGACAACAAAGCATGTTCTCTTGAATGCTGTTTGGCCTACACTGGGGGTGTTTATTGAATGCTGTTTGGCCTACACTGGGGGTGTTTATTGAATGCTGTTTGGCCTACACTGGGGGTGTTTATTGAAGTACCTGAGTATGGAATTGTTTTGGAGGAGTATTAATAATCCTGTTGAGAAGACACTTTATATTGGGAGAGTTTTGAGCACCTCAAATAGTAATTATCTGATTGTACAATGTTAGTGGAGCTGAGAAATTAGACTAGCAAGAAGATATTGATGATGTCCATATTTCAAGCATTTTCTATGGTCCAGTCACTCCTAATCAGTGTAGCTCATTTATCATCCTCAACCTACATGAGATTATCATCCTCAACCTACATGAGATTGAGAAAATATAAATGCACTGAACATAACTTGTCCTCAGAAAAGCAACAATGAACTGAATACTCAATTTCCATAAGCATGGCTGCTGTTTATTCTACACTAATATTAATAATGACCTTCAAACTCTACAAACAAAAGAAGGATGTTAGTTTATTGAACAGAAATAAACTTGTACTTTTTTGTTCATAATGTATTTTGAAAAAAATAAACAATTGTATAGCCATAAACTGAATATAGAGAAAAGGTTCGGTTCACTTACAGTAATGTCTGCAACAGCTATTCATGGAATGCAAACATTTTGTAATAATTTTTAACTAAAGCTAAGTTCATACTAATGTTCATACTAAGAGTAGCAGTAATATTGTTTCCCAAAGTCTAGGAGCTTTGTTGTTAAATGAAAAGAGGTCATTTTTTATTATAAAGACATTACCCATGATCATCGCAAAGTTTCATCATCAAAATATCAGACAATGACTGGTGTAGAGGAAATTATCAAAATAATGTCTGTGGCTTATTGTGTTTATGATTRCAAGCACACKTTATTATGTTGTTTACCAATGCACTATTTTGATGAATTTTATACACYCTGAATGCCATYGAAAACTAACATACAAAACAGAGACTTTTTYGACAGTCAGCTCTAGTCTAGAGAGGGTGTGGCCAATATTGTGAAATGAACTATGATTTAAAATAATTCAAATATTATTAGCATAATTTAAAATGTAGATATGGCTTGAAAATAGTAAACATTTCTCATTACAATTTTCATTTTTCCTACATGTACTGTATGTCTCATGTGGAATTACCCAATTGTTCAATATGCTGAATATCACACTGTAATTTTKGTGAATAAATGCTAACCAACCTTTGAGCACAACCAGTAGTATCAAGTACAGTGATGTTTAAAACTCAAAACAATTCCGTCTTGGTTGTATTTATCCAAAGTCTGTCCAGTACAGTGATCACACTTAATCCGTGCAACTGTACAAACTAAATAGTTCTATTTAGTTGTATTTAGTAAATCGTGTAATGCAGTACGCAAATTAAATTGAATTTATACAAATGAAGCATTCAATACCGTCTTGCTTCAGGTTCACTTTTAGTACAAATTAGTACTAATTAGATTTTGTACAGTTGCACGCTTTAAAGTGCGATCACTCTAGAACTTTCCATAGAGCCCTGTGCAAAATTACATATTAGATTAATGCTGTCAGAGATGACAAAAAGCATCTTCCAGATATACTTCCACTGAAGAGTTAATAGATTCAAATTCACTGGAAATGCCAAAACTACCACATGTATGGTGACTATTTTCCTGTATGAATGCTCAACTCATTTGTTTTTATACATACATTTGATTGTTAGTGATTTACACTACATATTATGCTTTAATAACAATTGCTTTTTCTGCAATAATATGTATAAAAAGCGCTTTTCTTTGATATCTACATTGTACAGTGTGCTTTAGAATTAATATTAGTCAGGTTTCAAACAGCAGGCAGCATCCAGGCAGGTGTACCAATAACTCAATATCAAGCAGTTAGAGACTACATGAACATTATGAGTTTTATTCATGGTAATGATTTTTTTCTTATTTTTTATTCATCTAGCTTTTGACATTTGAACCTCAAGCTGACCAAGAAGTAAGTATTGTTTTTGTATTTTTATATTATTGAATACTTGCACTGATCAAATCCTAGCATCTGTGAGTTGTGTTAGTATGTTTATTTAATGGTCTATTTGACTGACTGGTTATGTTTATTTTAGACAAGGGTCTATTTGACTGACTGGTTATGTTTATTTTAGACAAGGGTCTATTTGACTGACTGGTATTTGAGTGACTATTGATGTTCTTTTTCTCTTTTTAGCCTGAAAGTTGAAATGATGGCTGTGATGAGAATCGTTTTGTATTATTTTGTAAGATATTGCTGGCAGCTAAAGTAGTAATGTAAAATGTTCATGAATAAAGCTTTTTACAAGCTATCAAGATGACGTTCCATTCATTTATCATAAATCAGGTCTACATGTATTAAAGATGTTGCTGTTTGTTGCTGCAAGGTTGCTAAGTGTTTATGTTGCTTAATGTTTGTAGTATTGCTAGATGTGTACAGTCAGTGTTACTAAGTCTTGGCAGGGTTGCTAGGTGTACAGTGTTTCTAAGTGTATGTAGCGTTGCCAAGTGTTGACAGGGTTGCTAAGTGTTGGTAGGGTTGCAAAGTGTTGACAGGGTTGCTAAGTGTTGGTAGGGTTGCCAAGTGTTGACAGGGTTGCTAAGTGTTGACAGGGTTGCCAAGTGTTGACAGGGTTGCAAAGTGTTGGTAGGGTTGCTAAGTGTTGGTAGGGTGTTGACAGGGTTGCCAAGTGTTGACAGGGTTGCAAAGTGTTGGTAGGGTTGCTAAGTGTTGACAGGGTTGCTAAGTGTTGGTAGGGTTGCTAAGTGTTGACA